TTTCCATCTCCACCTGTACTRAGGAGCTGAACTGCTCACAGCACTCTGGATGTGGCCACAGCAGTGCTGAAGGGAAGAATCATCTCCTCAACCTGCTGGCAGCACTTTGCCTRATGCAGCCCAGGGTTACCTCAGGCCTCCTTTGCAGCAAAGAGACACACTGGCAACTTGTGTTCAACTTGGTTTCTACCAGGACCTCCTGATCCTTTTCTGAGAAGCAGTGTGTGCTGGGTGGCCCCAAGTTTGTCAGTTTGTCATCTTCAGTTTGTCATCTTCAGCTGTTCAGTTTTGCCCTTCACAAGATGATTTCAATAAGGTTCTAAAAAGTCACCATAAAAGAGACAGACTTTGTTTTGAAAGCATATCTTGTTTGCTGACTGTGAACTGTAAATCCACTGCATTTTCTTAGCTTACCTTAAAGCAAAAGCAATGAAAAGATTGTGACTGCTGGTCTAGGAGAAAAGTGGTAAATTAACAGTCTTACACTGGTCCACAAAGGTRGGGAACTTCTCCTGTGAAAGTGTTGTGTTCCTCCCAGACAAGCAGAGCAGTAAAGAGAAAAGGAACAAAGTTCTGCCTGAATTCCTCATCCAAAAACATTGTAGTAACCCTCTGTCAAGGCATTAAGGATGGGATACCAGTATCACTTTGGGGGTATTTGTAACAGAAAGGGTCTCTCTCTTCTTCTGTCATTTGGGCATTATTTATGAAGAGGTATTTCCAGAGGAATACTGCTGGCYATTAATAACCTGATGGTCCGTGCTACCATTATATTATTGTCACTGCAGCATCGAAATTGTGTCCACAGAGATGCTCCTTACAGGAACAGCAAGAACAGATTTACTTTGCCATGTTTGAAAAGTCTGACATTTCCACAGAGCAGCACTTCCCATTTGCAAATCTGAGACTGCTTTCCAAAGGTCTGTACACATCAGAGCTCCCGCAGGACAGCGGAGATGACAGGAGGCAGCCAAGCCTTGACTAATAGCTGACACTGCTTCATGGTAGGACACCCTCCAGCTGCTGGAAGGCAATGAAGGGAGACTGAAACATTACCAGAGAGAGAAACTTTGARCCTGCCCATTTCTGCTGAAGGACTGGAGTAGGAACCTTTATGGATCCACTAATATGCAAGATAAGAAGATATTTTCACCCAGCTTTTGTTACTATTTTTTTTTAAAAAAAGAAACTTATCTATTAATTATTTCATGCTGAATCAACTTACCAAAATTCTTTTCAACCCATTTGTATCATGGATTTCAGATGTAGGGAGAATAGATAGCACCAAACAGTTTCAAAAGCAACAACCTATATTTTTATGGTTCTGTTAATACATGAGGGATGTTGTCACTGTGATAGATACAAATTTTTCAAAAGGCTCTGAAGTTCCAGACAGAGATGATACATTTTATGACATCATTTGGCTCCTTTGTGAAGAGCAGATATTCAATTCCTTCATCAGATCTGATAAGGAATCACTGGGGTTCATGCCAAATCCAGGATAGGAGCAAGGTGCCCCCAACATCAGTGCTGTGATTGCTGGAGTCACCCAGCGGCACAAATTTGATCTGACTCAGCTGTGGGCACATGACTGAAGCTCTCTTGTGTTAGTCAGACACCACAGAGCTGCATTCTCGTGTGCTGGTTCTGTGTCAAGGCATGAGGAGGGGAGAAGACKCACAGAGCTGACTCAACAAAGATTTCTGAACAAGGTGCTCAGCCTTGCTCAGCCGAGCTCAGCCCTCTGTAGTGGGTGCCTGTGGCATTTTGGAGTGGACTTCAGGAGCCCTCAGCCCAGCTGCAAGCTTTTGGCACCTCAGTAACACCATTGATTCAATTCACTACAGAGTTTCGAGAGAAAAGGCATCAGCACCTGCAGAGCAGGGAGCAGTGCCAGAGGGGGAGGAGGRGTCACAGCCTCATGGAAGAGTAGGAAAACTGAGCTTCTCAGAGCTACCAGAAATAGAGGGAGCTGCCAAAAGTGGGTACAAGTAAAATAGGCATTTATATTTGTAACTCATTATCACAGCATTGGTATTGTGATTCCCATGCTCCTTCCATGCCTCTCTGATAATCTGACACTGAAAATGTGATTGCTCAGCTGCAACTGGGGAGCTCCAAGCTGCAGTCCCCAATGAGCAGCACTCCTGATGCAGTGATCCAGCACTACCATACTGTCTCTTCCAGCTGCACTGCTTCCCCATAGGTGGTGCCAGGATTAAAACTCCTGTCCTCTTGTTGCTGCCACTGCACCACAACAATGCCCGGCTGAAGCCCTGAGCTCTCAGAGATGGACACAGTGTGTGGTCAATATGCCAAAGGATTTCAGTGTCCTGCCCACCCTTAGGCTACCTCATTTTGCCACATTTAAACAGACTTTTTGCTCATCTCAAAAACACTTCTGGTGAAGACTGAGACTGGGACTTCTTCCCTCTTCTCCACACCAGTACTTACATATTTATGACTTTGGTGTCCACCTGCTGATCTGTATAGTATAAATTTGAACTGAGGCGAATTTTGCAGTTCAACAAACACAGAGTATCTTTTAAAGTCACACTAGAGCAGATACAAARTCTGGGAAATGTAATCTAAACGTTATCATAACTGAAATAAARGGAAACCATAATTCAGCCAGGTTCAGCATTACTCAAATGCATTGCAAAGTAGAGCTTCCGAAGCCTGGATCTGCTGCTCTTTTATTGGTTTCTCTCCTGAAAACTATAAATCCTTGATCAGATGTTCTCTCCTGAACTGCAAAATAGATTGAGTAAAGTTCAATTTGGCTAGGCAAGAGCAACAGTTACTGAGATCGGAGAGATTTAGGGCAATAGAGTTCTACAAATCAGCTGCCCTGGCATGACAACTTGTCAAACAAGGACTGATAAAATCTTYCATACAAATGGCTATTTAGAAGATTAAGTCTGTACTCAGTGGACCTGGATCCTTCAAAAGCGTGAAATGATTTAGAAAATTGWGGGGACACATTTTTTGCAGGTATTTAGGTAGTCACTTGTCTACCTCATTACACAGCTAAATACCTCTGAAAATGTAATCTTCAGTCACAGTCTCAAAGGAGATAGATTTTTAGAGGTGCACAGATGGCCAGGAGGTTTACAAAGTGCCTAGTTGTTTAGTTCACTATAAAATCAATGAGAGTTGAGGGTCTCATATAAAACCACGTTGATCTGCCTAATTAAAAAACACAGCCCCCWAGATTGTGTGTCTGGTGAAAACAGTAAGGTTGGAGCCCTTGCAAGCTCTCAAAGCTGCACTTTGGCCTTCCCTGAGGTTGTCCCTTGGCAGAAGWGCCTGATCAATGGGAACAAGGAGGGGAGAGGTGTCCAACCTGAGCCAGACTCAGCTGGATGTCAGGACAGAGGCCTGGCAACAGCAGGGAACAAACAGTCCACAGAAAAACTGACACTAAAATAGGCCAGTCCAGACCTTCAGAGACACTTCAATCACTGTTTAAAGCAAGCCATGGGTTTGCTCATGCAATTTGAGAAGGTGTTGTTCTTTAAATAGCAACTTAGGATGAGAGCTGCCACCTCCAATTTCATCATCATCCTTTAATGCAGGCTGGTGCTTTGCAGCTGGATAATTAACCTTGATATTCATTCAGACTTCAAAACACCCAATTCCCATTGCTGTCAATTAGCTGACGATGTCAAGTGTGTGTTGATAGAAGGTTTTTGTGTGACCCTGGCAATATGGCATTTGGGAAATTTCAGTCCTTCACAGCCAACTCTTAACAATTTTAGAATGGGAGGTGACATTCACAGAGTCACAGAATGGTTGAGGTTGGAAGGGAATGCTGGAGGTCATCTGTTCCAACCTCCCTGCTCAAACAGGGTCCTCTGGAGCACTTTACTCAGAATTGTGCCCAGGAGGATTTTTAATTCTCTAGGGAAGGAGACTCCTCAGCCTCTGTGGGCACCTTGCTGCAGTGCTCAGCCACCCTCRCAGTAAAGAATTCCTTCCTCATGTTCAGGTGAGCTCCCCATATTTCAGTTTCCACCTCTTGCCTCTTGTCCTATTGCTCAGCACCACTGAGATTGTGAATTTGTCACTGGATTGAGTTCACCAAACAAAACAGATTTACATCAGGGCACACCCTTCTGTCTGCTCTTAAGGCAATGCAGCTTTCTAAAAGACCTTCCAGATAATTTTCAAACCTTCTWGTTATGGTCTTTCAGAGAGTTCTGAGCGCACAGAAGATGCCTTCATCTCAGAGCCCTCAGAACCTTTCATACTTTGAACCAATGTAAGGCTGGAGGCAGGATTATAAATGACTGCTACAAAATGGTTTTTGATGTCACAAACACTACAATAAACACTGCATGTCAGAATGAAACAAAATATGGGAAGGGCCAGTGACTTTTCATTCTTCCCACTGATTTCTTTGCATTTATAATAAGGAGTTCCAACCTACTGGTAACAAGGTTAAATTAGTGGGCAGAAAGAAATTTGAATCACACTGGTTTTCCTGATATGCCACAGTGGGTTGTCTTCTGCTAATGAGTGCTATCCCTGCAATCAGGTAAACATTCACCTTGAGAAATGAACAGCCTTAATCAAGGCTGTTTTTAAATCAGCCAGAACAGTCAACAGCTAAAATTAAATTGGCTCAAACACAACTGCTTTTCTTTTCAAATATTGTTCTTCCTTCTTTATGAGAATGGGGRAAATAGCACAAGTGAAACATTCTTGCAGCAAAAGAGCAGCTCCTGTCCCTTCCATGTCCTGTGACTAAGAAGGGATGTACTGACTGATGATGAATACAATGCTTGTTCTCAGGCTAACCAGAGCCTTTTGTGAAGGTTACTAACATGAGTTCAATCTGACCTCTGTATTTCTAAAGGCCTCTACCTCATGTGCTGAGCAAAAATAGCAGAAAAAAATGGASAAAATAAATAAACGGGGTGGCAAAAAAAGGAAAGAAAAAAAGAAAGAAAAAGGAAATATCTGTCTGTTGTGCTTTTCTCTTGGTTTGAGAATGACGTCAACCTGTTGACCTTTATCTGAAATGTTCTGACAGTAGAAAAAACACTGACTACTCCATTTTCTACACACAGGGTCAACATTATGAAGAGGAAAAACGTGCTTTGAGCCATGAAATAATTGCACTTAATAATCACTTAATAGAAGCCAAGGTGACGATAGATAAGTTGTCAGAAGACAATGTAAGTATTAAATTATGAGATTGTATTAATTTTGAGATTATATTCAGAAAAAAAATTGGGTCTTGCACTTCCCATGAAATCATAGAATAATTTTTTATGTTTGTGTAAAATGTATCTTGTCACCTCAACAGTTAAAATTTTTGTTTGTTTGTTTGCTCCCATCATTTTGTAAAYCCAGATCTCCTCATCCTATGAGTGAGACTCATGGGGGTGAGGCTTTTCATTGACATTTTTTCTTTATGTCTAGACTGAAAGTGATGAAAAAATATTCTAAGAAATGGCAATATTCCCACATTGATTTTGCCATCAGTATAGCAAACTGGTGCGAGCACATGGTCAGAGCTGTTGCAGGGACTCGTGTGTGGAGTGAGAACCATCAGGAGTGTAGAGCCCKACATTTCCTGTGATTCTTTGATCTTTCAGTCTTTGCTCACCAAATAGCCCAGCACAGAAGGCAGGATTGACCCTGCCTGGTGACTCAGACCACTCCTGTTGGGAGCAGAACTGCTATCCCTGGCAGTTGCTCTGTGTAACAATTTATCTGACTCTGTGCAGGACAAAACGGGGAGCATCTCTGGCTGTTGCCACCCTACATCTCGTTAAGCACTGCTGAAAAGTGGCATGAGCGCTGCAGCTCATTAAATTATTCCTGGGACAAACCTACAAAGACAGCAAAGAGAGGAATATTGCAGGCATTTAGTTCATTATTGTGCCGTTCCTTCCACACTTAATAAAAAATTCATCCACAGAAGACATGTTTCTGTTAGCACTTATTTTTCAGCATCTAGTATTCAATCTTCCCATAGTTCACATGAACTCTTAATCATAGCTGGGAGCATTTGATCCCATTAAAATGTTGATGTGAGCTCTGCCTGTGCAATTAACAGCTTTCCAACAGAAACAAAAAGTTCCCGATCCAACCCCTTACTTTGACAGAAGTTGGGTTGAAAGAACAGTTATTTCATAACTCTAACAGCTGTAAGCAATGGAGAATGGTAAATGCAATGGGTTGCATTCAGATTTTGGAAGCACGGGGATACCTCCAGACTAACTCATCTGTAATCAGTGGAGTTATTTCTGATTTAAAATTCTAAGTTTAAAAATACACAACTGTGAAACAAACCACTAATATTATACCTAATAAGTAAGAAGTGATAAACTGAAGAATCCTACATGGGGAGAATATTTTTGTCTCGTCAATATTTCTTCCTTCAATTATATTTCCCCTCACTCTTCTGACAGAAAAGTAAAACAATGCTTTTGATACAAAAACAGATTTTAAACCGTGGGAAACACTTCTGGCATTAATTGCCAGTTATTGCTCTGGTTGCCACAGATATGGCTGGTTTCCATTCAGGCAAACATTCGAGGAGATAAAGTCACTCCAGTCACGTGGCTTGGCCCAGCAGCTTGAGAACAAAGTACACGTGGCACATGTAGCTCACATGTAATTTTTCTGTAGTAATTTTTAAAGCTGCTAAAAATAAAGTGCCAGAAATGCTTTTTGTACTCTCCATGACAACCGCTGCACAGAAGGAGAGGCACACAGCTTTTGAAGAAAGCTTTAGATTCTGGAGAGACATCATTTTTGTCTGCCTAGAAATGCCATATGGGACWTGGGGTACCTATCTGTGCTACACATTGTGCAGCAACATTATGAGTTTAATGTGCATGAAACACTTCAGAATCACATGCACGTGCAATAGATTTTACTTCTAAATTGAATTCTTGGGTTCTTAMTTTTCCAGGAATGAAAATAGTGTGTTCTAATATAAAATTTAAGACCCACATRAATTAATGTTTCCCCAGTACATTGGAGGCAGAAGAGGCATGTATTAAAGCTCACAAGACACAGAAAGAAATCACAGAACAAAATTATGTAAAGGTCTTTGAATATGAATATATATGAACTAATGTTCATAGGGAAATTATCCCCATCTCTCATAGACTCACAAGAACATCTTGTTGCATCTGTCATTACAGAATACCCTAAAATAGTATTTTAAAACAGAGGAAATTTCTTTTTTACAGAAAACTTCTCTGTCAGTTTTTAAGAGAATAAATGGTGCCATAAAAATCAGTGTGCAATAAAATTATAACATTAACATCAAAGAAAATCYACATTATATCTGTATTCTACACCTTTTGTCTATACACACATTCTAATTTTTACAGTTTAATGCAGCCCAGTGCCCATAGCACTTTTATGCATTGTGTATCTCTCTGCCCACCTATAAAGTCAAATTCTGAAGCCAACATTGTTTTTAATGCAACTAAATAAGGAAAACGGAAAAACAACATAGAACTCTTACCTTCAGGGACCCAGAGATACTGTTTGAAAGTCACAGTTACACAGCCATGTGTGCTAAATTAAATTTAGGTGAAGGGCAAAACTGTGTGCTGAATTTTCCCATTAAATAGGCTGAGGGAGCCATTCAGTACAAAGATAGTATAAGCAGCTTGCTTAAATTCTCTCCTTTCCTGTGTGGAATTCTCATTGCCCAGTGAAAATATTCTGTTCTGCAGCATCAAATATTTGCAGTGAGATTTAATATATCTCTATAGCTGCATTCTGCAAGGTATTAAAGGAACCAGGAACCAGCAAGAAAYATCAAAAGGAGGAAGAGTCTCCCTTTTTAAAAAACCAACACAATGTGTATTTCTGTAACGAATTTCTCCCACAGTCTCATAGGATTATTTTCGCACTTTCTAAAGCACTATTTTAGTGCTGGTCTGGATAATACTCAGTAAAAATTGTCTGCTCCTAAATTTTCTTTTTTTGCCTAAAAGATCATGGTTTTTTAGCCTTCACAGTACCATGCATGTTAACAGTATAAAATCCAGTTCTTAATGGTAAGTATTCATCTTCCGAAATGCAGATTACTGTTCAGATGTAAAAGATCTCAAAAGTTTATTCCTGGTAATTTTATTGGCCCTCACAGAGCAAAGGGGGAAATACCTCTGGGTTGTGCAAGAGACACAGCATCTGAAATTGTTTAGAAGTTAAAGTATGCTCCAAATCTCCCCAAAGGGAATTTTGAAAAGATTGATCAGGCATGGGAGAAAGGTTGAAAGCCACGAGCACTTTGCAAACTTTAAAGAAGAGGCTATTTTTTGTTTTTTCCAGGAGCTCTACAGGAAGGACTGCAATTTAGCTGCTCAGCTGCTCCAGTGCAGCAAGAACTACGACAGGGCACATAAACTTTCAGAGGTAACGTGACCAAACTTCTTGAATATTCAAAGGCATAAATATTGTATGGAAAACAGGTTATTTTGCATGTGTCAATTCCAGAATCTGCTTGCCCTTAAAACTTTTGTTCCCCACACACCCTCCTTAAAGGCACAGGAGGGCTTGTGCAGCTGCTGSTGCTCTGTGCAGTGGAGGGAGGTGCTGACAAAACCACAGCCAGTGGTGGAACTTGAAGCTCCTCTGTTCCCCAAAACCTCTCCTACCCAGTAGAATGGGTTCACCCTGATTGCCCCTAAAACAAAGGTTTTAGGAAAACTGAAGTGCTGTGAACTCCAGAATACAAAATACTGGGCAGGAGCAGAGGGGTGAGAGCAGGGAAATGACAAGCTACAGGCGTCAGAGATTCTGATATAATCAATTTTCCTCCTGAAGCTATTTTCCAGTCCAGCTAGTTTCCAAACCTGAGTTTTAAAATGGCCTGACAGAACAAATATCTTTTTGTAAAGAAACCAGAGCACTGAATGATTGATTTCCAAGGTGCAAACTTTAATTAATAATCCCTGCTTCCAAGGAAACGAGGTTTTAGAATGGGCTCCTTAAAGGGAAGGTAAATATTACCTCAGTGAACAAGACTCTCTTTAGGGACCCAGGCCCTGCACAAAGCAATAGCACCTTCCTCACAGATATTGCTTCAGTGAAGGTTACAGGGAAAAGCCTTTCCTTCRTCAGTCCCATCAGTGGACATTGCCCCAAATGGCCTCTCCAGTGCAATTCTGCAATGGAATATTGCAAAATTAAATTTGGATTGTATAAACCATTCCTAAGTCAGTCAATAGCTTCAGAGCACTAAACAATCCTGGTAAATAAAGATGGGGCAAGATTCTCCCATCAAACAGGTAATGATTCCCTGGAACAGAGACAGAAATACCAAATTGACCATTATCTTGGTCCTGTTATTTTTTCCTGTTAACTGAATTCCCTTAGCAAGTTGTAACAAGGAATTATCATATTACTCACACTTGAAAGCACCTTACCTGTTATAATCAGGACATWAAAGCACTTAGTTCTTCATTTGCAGAGAAGTATCACAAATGTAAGATCTCCCCACAATTTCCCAGACTGCCATATRCTCAGTTAAATAGGTAATAGCCACTCATAAATCCAAGTATCTGTTAATTTAGCAAATGTGAATGTGCTGTCACAGCCAATAAATTCCTTGCAAGTGCAAATATTGCCTGATAAACTATCGTATGTTACCCAGAAACCTAAACTGTAGTACGATTTGGTAATGTGACAGCAACCCCATTTTAGTAATTCCAGTTTCTAGCGCAATGCCCAGAAAATAATGTTCTTTTTAACACATTTCATAAACTTAACAAGGTATATAAAATAGATCAAAGAGTGATGCTACAGGATACTAAAATAAGAGCTGCCCCAMACAGCACTTTCACATTAAATTAACTGTATTTCTTTTCCTCATTTCTATGGCAATTTACACCAGGCCTATTTTACAATCTGTTTATTCAATCTTTRCTGCATCTGTACCCACTATGACTAATGTTCCTGTCTGCCAGCAGACTGGCAATATCATTTATTTCCAATGGAAGACATATGAGTTAATTAGCAACATAATGATTAATCCAAAATATCCTGGAAGGTCTGTTGGTTGAAAAAAACTCGTCCTACTACAAATAACAAGAATGCCATTTCACTACATGACTTATTTTGAACATGCTGAGGTTTGAGGATTAAACCAGCTTTAAAAACTTCCCAGTGAAGCTAAAATAGGAATTYCATATCTGATACAATGTGAGACCATGGCAAGGAGAAGGCACCTTAAAATTTTCTTCCCTGAAAACCAAGGCATAGGGGACAACCACAGTTATTTACAGGGTTCTCTCCTCTAGAGGAACAAATCTAAGGAGGAAGTGAGATTGCTAAGGTCAGAAGGTTAACTACTGATTATTTCATAAAGAGGAAAGTGATTTTTAGTTATAAAAAGAAAGTGCTGAATATATCAAAGTTCAGTCAAGTATGGGAGGGATGAATTCCTAGATGTCATAAATCAATACAGATATAAAAGCAGCTATCAAAATCACAAGCCCAAAACTTATYCCAAACATGAGTTCTTCTGATTTCCAGCAAGAAATACTGAGAGACAACCTCTCTCATCATTGATAGAGATCTGAAGTGAGCAAGGCAGATAAAATTTGACAGGAAATCATGCTTGGCGATACCTGAGTAGGCATCACCAAGGAATGTCATCTCTCTCTCATCTGGTCCACATGACAGAATGGCAGGTGAAACCACCATCYACAGCCCTGATCCTGATTTTCTAAAAAAAAACCTATATAATTTCTGATGTATAACAGACTTATTGATAATTCTGTCACAAGATTCATAATGTGAATGCAGGTCTTAGTGCTTATTTCTGTCATTGTGTAAGGACATGTTGAGGCTCATGTGGATGGTTGATCTGACAAGCAGTGTCTGACCGATGGGACAAGGAAGCCAGCGTGATTTGCCAATTCCCAGAGCAGGAATAATCCTGTCACAGCAGCCAGTACCATTCCCTTTAGTGTAGCCAGCTTTTCTGCATCTTCAAACAGCATTGTTGATCAGATGTGATGCTAGAGGGCGAGAGCCAATTTGTCATGGGGTTGGAGGCAAGGTGAGCTCGAKGAAAGGCAAAAGAAGAACAGAATAGATCTGATCTCTTCCTTCTCTTTCCTCACCCCCGCAGAGACCTCTGCACACCCGCACTCCAATTGTAAATCACACCCAAGTTCACAGTCTGGAAAGTGTTGCTATRGGCTGTAATTCCCCACCTGCCTTTTTAAGATTGTTGTTTACCACACAGTTTATTTACATCAGTAAAGCAAACCTGGAAGTGCCGGGTTAATGGCTGGACTCGATGAGCGCAGAGGCCTTTCCTGACCTGAGCGATTCTATGATCATTCCTATCCAACCTGAATTAATTTGGAAGGAAACATTTCGGTTTCACAGTGTTATCTGTGAGGGAAAGCAGATGAAGATGTACAAATGTTAAGTAAACAAATGAAAGTAATTTGATTACATTTGTTTCCAGAAATGCACAAAGACTGTGGCCATCACATTAGCCTAAGGACTGGGAATAGTGAGATATGTAACGTCATAAACAGCTCTCATAATTCATCTGACACCTCTATTGACATGTGCCCTTTTCTCCTCTCTCCTTGCGGTCTCTTTATGCCACAGTTGCCAACTGACTTTCAGGAAAGAGTCAGCATCCACCTGGAGAAGCACGGGTGCAGCCTTTCTGTCCCCTTGTGCCACACTTCTTACGCTGACACCATACCCACTTGTGTCATTGCCAAAGTGCTGGAGAAACCCGACCCAAACAGCTTGTCCTCGCACTTGTCAAGCCCCTCCACAAGGGATCTCAACTTCCAGGACTCGGCCGGAAAAGCCGGACAAAGAGCCCAGTACAAGTCGGACATCTACTGCAGYGACACGGCGCTCTACTGCCCCGAGGAGAGGAGGAGGGAGAGGCGGCAAAGCGTGGACACGCAGGTGAAGGACGTGGGGTTCCTGCGGTCCCAGAACTCCACCGACAGCACCGTCGAAGAGGACGGTTTCCATTCCAGCTTCTCCCACGAAGCCTTCCCGGAGTACATCACCTCTCTGCCGACCTCCAGCTCCTACTCCAGCTTCAGCGTCACGTCCGAGGAGAAGGAGAACGCCCAGGCCAACACGCTGACGGCCTCCCAGCAGGCGATCTACATGAGCAACCGAGATGAGCTGTTTGAAAGGAAGTCGCCCGCGGGCTACGAGCACCAGGGGAGCCCCAGGTTCGCCAAGCCCAAACCCGCGCAGCACATGGAGCTCRCCGACGACAACGAGAACTCGCCCACTTTCACCAGGACTCTGCCTCCGTATGCAAACGAAACTTTTCATTTCTCAGCCATAACACCGCAGCAGGCTCTAGCGAACCAGAAAATGAGGAATGAGTGCAGGAGCACCCACCTTTCCGAGGAAGACTTGCCGGGGCGATGGAGGCAGCTGAGCGTGGAGGACATTGGAGCGTACTCGTACAGGAACGCTGGCAGGCTGTCACCCTGCAGTTTTTCAGAGCAGTACTACAGCAGCCCCATCAAGAAGGGGGACAGTCGAACGAGCCCCATCTACGCCAGCTACAAAGCAGACAGCTGTTCGGAGGGAGACGACATCTGCCAAAGCAGACTTGTGGATTCTTGCTTCCTGAGAACAGACAGTGGCCTGAACATTGACATCAGCACAAGCTGTAAACAGGACAAATTGCCCACGTACAAAACAAAAGAATCGAGAGACCAAAAAAACGAAAGGATCACTGTCCAGTTGTGCAGTAGCAAAAACATCGAGAATAGCCCGGTATTGAAAAGAGAATACGTRGACGTGAGCCCCAACAGCTCAGCGGAGTCACTCAATCAGAGTTCAGCGGAGGCTTCAGAAATCCACCAGTCTTCCATGGATCAAGGAAGCCATTCGGGTGTTCACAAAAAGCAGCAGCAGTTTCAGCGGACTGGGAGCACTGGTCTGAGTCGGAAGGACAGCCTTACAAAAGCACAGTTATACGGAACCCTTCTGAACTAGGCGTCTCCCCAAACGGCAATAAGGCAGTGAACRAAGGGAAGAAAAGAGCATTTGATACTTCTAGTGAACAATAAGGTCCTAAGAAACAGGATTATTATAAAATATATATTCATAATGGTACTATATGTTTAAAACAAAATCTCTTCAGAAACGTTATACAGCACTTTTCACTTGACATGCTTTCCACATGGGAGACTGTCCCCTCCCCTCTTTTATAAACCTGAAATATTTTTATAAACAAAAATGTATTTATTAGACTATCCTAAGCTATTTGAGCAGAATTCTTTTCCCTTCAAGCAGGTTTCTTATTTATTTTTGTGCATGAGGCCATCTGTGCCTAAATTCTTGGAGGAAAAGGGTGAAATCACGATGGCAGTGACAAAAAAAAAATAAACCCACCTAATAAAATACCATAAAATGTCATGTGAAATCAAAACAAACAAGAAAGGTGAATTTGAAGAAGTATATTTTTTAACAAGAATGGAATTGTATCTTAAGTTATTTCATACAAATGTATTTATGAGTGACTAATGTATGCACAAAGTGATACTAATATTTTGTTCTTTTAATCCACTGTGTTTCTGCTTTCCTATTTTTCCTTGTATACTACCTCAAAAGTAATTGAGGGTTTCTTTGTCACATTTTCTGTAGGCTTGCATTTATATTGTCTAAAATGCATGCAGTGTCATAATTAATACTGTATTTTGCATAACTTAATAAAAGACACCAGTGGATATATTTTGGGCTGTTTTTTCCCTTCATTCAATAGAACATCGAATTGCTGTGAGTGCCATCAWTCCAGCAGAAGTTAATGATTAAAGCTCCTGAATTGGATTTCTTTCTAAACGAGTCTTTCTTTCTCTGTGAGCTCCAGAGAAAACTGGTTCACAGCCTGTGGCCTCTGGGTGTGGGAGGATGACTTCTCATCAGCTTGTTGAAAGTAAGCAAAGGAAAAAGAAATGTTTGTCCACAGTATTGAATTCACTAGACAGGGCTCTGCCCACTGAAAGAATACTGAAAACTACTTGAAAGCCAGTGATGAAAGCTCCTCCTCTGTTATTCACATTCTTGACACAGTCTTTTATGTCTTTAGGACTGCTACATTCTAGAGTTGCCCTTTCTTCATATTCAGCTTTGTATTTCTAGCAGTGATTTTTCTAAAGCCTAAGGGAAAAGTCTGGCTGTCTGTAGCCTTTACCCCAGAGTCCAAGAAGCTGTATTTTTACCTCTACTTCTGGCATTCCTCCATCGATTTTCTGTTTCTCACCATTGCACCATTATGGAGTGTACAGCTGGGACAGGAGGAAAAGGAAGAGAGAAAAAGGAGAAGAGAAGAAAGACAAAAAGGAGAAAAAGGGAAATCCCGTGGATTTTCTTCCTGGCTTCAAAATTCCTGCTTTGTAAGGGGTAGAATAAAAAAAAAAAAGAAAAAAAAGGAAACAATATTTAATAATTCTTTTAAGTCATGTTCACATATCCTGTACTTACAATACTGACCCTTGACAGTTCATGTATGGGGCAAGACCTTGCTTAGTGCATATGCGATAAWCAGTAATCAGTGAGATCACTGTGGAAATGTAAACTAGCTCCTTGCAAAGCTAAAATAATGATCCATTCAATAGCTAATAAAAATATGTAATTTTCCTGTTGATTGTCTTAAAGCAGTTACCTGGCAACTAACTGAACCAGGACGACAGAACTGTTCATCTCCCACATAAGCATCTTCAGTCATGAGGCCACAGATTCAATTCATTTGGCACGAATAACTCCCATTGCCCCCCGTTACCTTCATGGATGATACAAACATTGGACCAGTGTTGTGTGCAAGCTCTTGCTGTGTTTTTTTGGAAGATCAGGCACCAAATCCCTGCAGTTCCTCCAGGGTTTGCAGCAGTACCGTGGAGAACAATGGTAGCAAATAACATCACAMAGGTAAGGCAGGAGGCAGCTCCAAAGGGGTGCTCATTGCAGCACGAAGCTGCCACGTGCCTTCTGCTTTTACACTCCCAAAATTGCTCACRGCGAGTGTGAGAGGGAGGGCAGCCTGCAAATAATTCCACAAAGTCAATAATAAACACATACAATGAGGTTTCCAAAGGCCAAGAACAACTTATGGCAGGATGTGACCTGCAGTAAATGGACGTGGGAATCCAGAGGAGCGTTTATTTCCCCTTTGAAACACCAAGACAGAAAACAGATGGGAAAAAACCCTCACTGTTGACTCATTCAGGTATATAAAACTTAGAAAATCCCTAAGGCAAGGCATTAGTTTCTCTGGTCAATGAATATCAGGATTTGTGTGGAAGAGGTGAAAATTAACTGTTATCTCACCTAAGAAAATATGTAAGCTATGGAACAGTAAATTTTGTCATTTATGAACTGGAACACAGTGTCAGACTAATCCTTTCATAATATTGTTCATTATTTGACCTAAAGTGCTATTTTGGCAATTACACAAAATTATATTTCTGCTAGATATTATATATCTGATTATTTAATATCCTGTTCTATTATATTCTTCCATACTACTGCAGTTTCAAAGTCTGCTTCTATGCTTCACTTAACTCTTTTTCTCAGTTTATGTGCACTAATTCATAGATTAAAACCAGCTTTTTCAGCCAATTAGTACTGGGGTTTTTTGTAAAATAGCCTATAACCTTGTAACATTTTTCYGTAATGAATTCTGTTACAGAACAATATATTACCCTGTAATTAATTTCAACTGAATCAATCAAAATGGCTATAAAAATTCTTCAGCTTGAATGTGTTGATTTGAATTTMTCCTTAATTAGAAAAACTGATGGTAAGTTTGTTAATTTCCTATGAGCACRAGAAAAAGTTTCAAGTATTCACCAAATTTTTCTCAGATTTATGGACATACTATGGTTTGGTTTAATTTTTCCAAACAAAAATAACTTTGAAATATTATAATAAAGAATTTATTCCTGGGATTTGGGGGTTAATTTTGCCACATGTGTTTAGATTTCTTGAGACAACCACAGAGAGAGACTTGCGTCATAAGGCCAGAATTACGATAGTGTTTTCACAATAAATTTCTTTTTTTTTTTGTGGTAGTGCCTTAATTTTTTGCTTGCCTTCAGTCTTTTCCCAAAGACACAAATGTCCAATTTTCTCTTAAGCACTACAAGAAGGCCATGGTGTTTCCAAGCTGCCACAAAACCTCACTTTTCCAAATCAAGTTCTGTATTCAGGGTTTGTAGGTAACTATGACAGGAATTTCGATTTGATTAATTATTTCATTTGCTGTGAGTGAGAACACAAAGGGTGAGTAAAAGAAGTGGCAAGTCCCCAACAGTGCAGCGAAGCAGAAGATGAAAAATGTCATTTTAATGAATGAAAATCAAAAGCAGAATGTATATGACACAGAACASTGATCAGGGGAAAAACAAAGGGGGCTGTAGAGATCAGAGTGAGGCATATCCAATCACATCTCAAATCAGACAAGAATACAAAAATGCTATAGGGATTTGGGGTGCAATTCACCAGGAATAACAGTGCAAAACTATTATGAAATCATAGAAAGCAAATGCATTTTGGAGATGTTTCCTCACTGCAAATTAGGCTTTTTAAAAAGTGCAACATCTCAATATTTGTGAATAATGCAGGTCACTTTTGTTAAACTTTTTAGAAGTATAGGAATAGCTGATATTTTTAAGTTTAAATCATGGCAAGCCATAACATAGGTCATTTTCAACTCAACAGTTTCTAACTTCTTCACTCAAACTAGCAAATTAATCAAACTAATCCTTTCCCCTTCCAGCACTTTTAATTAAAAAGAATTTTCACTCCATAATGTATCACCGAGCATGATTATGCAGCTACTTAGATTAATTTYGCCTTGTTTAATTTTAAAGTGCTAATTGACATCCTTTGGACTTTCCCATCAAATTCTTATGCCCCATTCTTATCTGCATCCTTGTCATCTTTACAGACTATTGTTACATATCTCCTTAAATACTGCTTCAATTGTGCAGATGTGGTCCTCTCAGGTATTTTTTTCTTGGAAGACACTCCTTTAAGGACAGTGACTGCTTCTTATTCTCTTCAAGGAGCACCCCCATCACCTTTCTGCTGCTAGCTAACATCTTAACATTTTAATGTGAAGGGTTGTTCAAACCCCCTGTACAAAAGTGTAGTACAAGGAAAGGAGAGGACGACGCAGAGCAGAGCAGCTTCCAATGACCACACACACTGATCTGCACACATTAAATCATGGCAAGCTGTCTACACGGCCTTACATCAACATTATCAGAAGCTTTTCATTGTTTTCCCAATCTTCCCTCCATGCCTTTGAAAACTTCATTATTGTAAAACATCTCGAGCAATGCCATCATTCCTTAAGAACCTGTCTTTCATGCCAGCTCCTCTCACATTATTCTCTCTTTGGTATTTTCTTTTCACTGTATTTCAGTAATTGAGAGGTTTTGTTCAGCTGCAGTTGAAAAGAATAGTTTGGTTATTTGTGCAATGAATGCAAGGTTTTGTTGCTTTTGTGCCCCACAAGACCTCAGACACYAGCTCCATGTCCAAGGCACCGAGGTTTTGGAAGGCCCTGAGCTCTCTCTTCCCCAGGCTCCTGCAGCCCCTGTGGGGCAGGGAAGGGCACTCTGCTTCTGCCAGGTGAGAGCACCTTAAGGATGCTGTCAGCCCCATATCCCACACCTGTGTGGAGTGGTAAAGGGCTCTCCCACTCCTCCCTGCTGAGCTGGGATCATCCCTGCAGGCTGTTCTGCATCCCAGAGTAGGGAGAGCATCTGCAAGGGCCAGAACAAGATGTATYGATACAAGATGCAATTGTTGGAAAATATCCCTGATGAGAGTTAAGTGCCTTCTCAACAACACAGCCACCACAGATAAATATACATTAATACTCTAACTATGATTATTCAGAAAAAAATCTAATTTTTGGAGTCAGCTCTAATGAATGAATATTTAAATATATTCACCCATCTCGGTTTTTTCTTTGCAATTTATGAGTCAGAGCAGACATGCATGAGCTGCCACAGCAGTATTTACTACACCMAGCCGAGCAATGACAGCTCTATGATTTAGAAGAAGAGAAACAGCAGCAAGTCCCAGAATAATTAAATTTGTAATGTCAATGTCAGCCAGCGTCCTTTCCCATTCCAGRTCTTCAGATGTGAAATTGCAAAACAGATCACAGGGAATAAAAGGTATCCTCAGCACATAAGGGTTATAAATTTTATCAGGCTCCCACTCAAGAGGATTTTTGTCACAGTAAACCTTTTATTGTTACAGTAGAAATCCTCTTAGTCTGGACACAAGTTGTGAAGGGAGACATGAGGTGGAAGACCTGCACTGGAAGCCCAGACAGCATGGAACCTTTCAACCCAAGAATCCATTGTGCCACCATCCTGAGGAGCTGGGACAGCAGCAGCAACACTTATAACTGATAAATTACGAGTGTTGACTCCAGCAGGAYAATTTTTGGCAGGGAGATAAATCCAGGCTTATGTTCACTTGACTTAAATTTGACAATTTGCTTC